AAGCCTAAATTAGACTCTGCTTTGTTAGTGCTTCCGTCTCTCAATTGAATCAACTACCTGAGACTGCATGAATCAAGGGGAAGGCCACACTCTCAATCAGATTTTCTGCCGTGGACTGGCTTTCATTGTTTGCTAGAAAATGCTTAACGGGAAGTACTTAGAAAATGCACACACTTATTTCATTGAAGTTGCTACTTTGTATCCATTACATCTGCTTTATTTTGAGGTAAACTATAGTAGAAGTTGGCTTTTTCAACCCTGCAAAGCCCTAAAATTAAGGATCTCTTACTCAACTTAGACTGTAGAGTTGCAGCCAGAACAAAGCTGTATTTCCTTCTAACCCTGCTTGCAGACTGGCTAACTTCAGTCCTATTTCATATCTCTTGTAAGACTGCTAAAAACATAAGAAGCCACCAACACACATCATCACTATGAATATTGCCAAATCATTTCCCCTAAGAGTAAAGTCACAGTTGGCATGTGTTCTGCCCTCCAAGATAGCACAGGTGACAGTTTTATCCGATATCTTGTGATGGCTTAACATGGGCCACCCAGCTTTCCAGCCTCTGATAGGTGAGTCTTGCCAATAGCCTGATGACATCTGCATCACATATTTTAGGTTCGCTCATGGACAGTAACTTATTTCCAAATTCTATACTTGTTAAAATTAGGTTTGCGTTTGTGCAATAGAAAATCCAATTGACATTGGCTTAGTATATCAATTTTTTGGTTTCTCATAAACTCTTGGCCATCGGCAGTACTGAACCATTATTTCTGCTCCATCTCTGAGGTCATAGAAGGAAGGATCTGGATGCCCAGGGTCATCTAGCTGGTTGCTCTACAATCCCTAGCACATTTTTCTCATGTACATTGCCCAAGATGGTTGGCTACAACATCCAGATTACAGAATCCAGATGGAAGTACACAGGAGAAAGGGGAACAGCCCCACCATTTAAGAACATGTCCCAGAAATTGCATACCTCACTTCCTCCCAAATTTCACTGGCTATCACTTAGTCATATAGACACACTTAGCTGCAAGTCTGTTTGGGATATACAATTATTTTTAATAGTGGTATATGCCCAACTACAAATGGAGGTTCTGTCATAATGAAATGAGAGAAAGGCAGAAAAAGATGTTGAGAGATGTGTAGCAATCTCTGGACTCTATGGGGATAAAAAAAAAAAAAAAAAAGAATTGAGAGTATCCAAATTCAGGATCAAAATCAAAATTCAGGACCAAAAATATCAATAAATATCACCTGGAATAAGAACAACATACAGTTAAGCTACACATATACAAGTGTCAGCATCTTGTCTGGAAGCAACTAATGGTCTATCTACCTGGTATTTTAGATATGTATTTTTTTTCTCCCTTCTACAGGATTTTGAGCTCCTTAAGGGCAGAGACTTTGTGTCTCCTTCTCCTAGTAGGTATCCAATACGTATTTGTCAAATGAAAGAATGAATATGAGTTACTAGAACTCTAATATATATTATAAATTCTTTCTCACAAGATAATTGGAATGATCTCCAGCTAAGGAATTCTTGAGGCATTGTCTGGTCCAGATCCACTGTCTGGGTCCTCCGTGTGTCCCGTATTGTTGTTTCTGTGTTCATCATTCTTTCACAGGGTGTTTTCTACTGGGCACAGAGCCTGCCTCAGAGGAGCATATGGGTAATGAACTACCAAGAGAGGACTAAGACTCAGTTGTTCTAACCCTCCATGCAGAGTGCTTTTCACAGCCGCATGTGTATGTAATAAGTGCAGTAAGAGATGAGAGGAGGGAGTGATTATTCGTCTGGTTTGATCCTAGAAGGTTTTCTGAAGAAAGTGTTTTTGAATGAGACATTATAATAATAGAGTTTCTTAAACCTTTTCCCCCAAGGAATACCTGGGCAGACAGAAGAGACAGAAATCTGGCCCCTGCTTAGTCTGGGAGTATAGACTGAAGAAACCTACTCCAAGGAATTTTTTTTTCATTTTTCTTTACTTCACTATTCATTTATGCTTGCATTTATTCTTTCATTCATGTGTCTAGCAAACATAACGAAGTCCTAATTAAATGCCAGGCATTGTTTTTTGTGAGACCACAAAAGACCCTACCCTCCTGGAGCTTACATTCTTGTACAGAATAGACATCAAACAAATAAGCAACATAAATCAGCAAGATAATTTCTGATTGTGCTAAAAGCTATTACCGAAATCAAACAGAGTAGTCTAATACAGAGTGCATATACCTCTCTGTGCCTCAGTTGACTCATCTGTAAAATGGAGATGATAATAATAGAGGTCTATGCCGGGCATGGTGGCTCACACCTGTAAGCCCAGCACTTTGGGAGGCCGAGATGGGTAGTTCACTTGAGGTCGGGAGTTTGAGGTCAGCCTAACCAACATGGTGAAACCTCGTCTCTACTAAAAATACTAAAATTAGCCAGGCGTAGTGATGCGTGCCTGTAATCCCAGCTACTTGAGAGGCTGAGGCAGGAGAATCACTTGAACCTGGGAGGTGGAGGTTGCAGTGAGCCGAGATCACACCATTGCACTCCAGCCTAGGCAACAAGAGCGAAACTCAGTCTCAAATAATAATAATAATGTCTGTAATTCCAAAATGCAAAACGGAAAGCTTTGTCCTAACTCAGTTGATTGCAAACATAACACATTTGGAGGTGGATCTTGACATGAACTGAATGAGTTATTCTTTTTAAAAAAAAAATAATTCCACTTAGAGTGGAAAATCTTATATGTCACTGCAGAAATTTTGTGCTTGATTATGGGGTGCTTCCCCGGGCCTCAATAGGTATTACATAATCTAGGGTATATGTAGCATATTACCTTCTAAAATTTGAAAAATTCTGAATTCCAAAACACATGTAGCACTAAAGGTTTTAGATAAAGGATTAAAGACCTGTAGTATCCATTATTGTGAGGATTAAATGATTTAATATATGGAAAACACTGAAAATGGTGCTTGGCATATGGTAAGTGCTACCTAAGTTAACTACTATTACTATTATTATCACTATTCTTACATTGGGAAGGTATTCAGATAAGTTGGTCAGGGAAAGCGTCTCTGAGGATGTGTCACTTGAATAGGCAACTAAGGGGTGGTAAACGACCTGGCTGTGGGAAGAGGAGAAAGAGGATTTCAGGAAGAGGAAACAGCAAGTGCCAAGACCGTGGTGGTTACAAGGCTGGCTTGAATGCAGAACAGAAAACAGACCAGATGGCCGATGTGTGGTGAAGGAGGGGAAAGATGGTTCAAGGTCAGAGAGGTAGGCTGAAGTCAGAACACACACGATATGAGCAATGGTAAAGAGTTCGGATTTCATTTAGAGTGTAATACGAAGCCATCACAGTTGATTTGATTCAGGTTTATAAACAACGGGCTGATGCTGTTTGATGAATGAATTGTAGAGGAGGAGGAGGAGCAGGGAGAAGAATTTGGAATCTAGCATAGCGGTCCAGATGAGACGTAGTGACTAGTTGGAGTAGGGAGGTGGTAATAGTTGAAGAGAAAAGTGGACAGGTATGAGAAAAAAGTTTAGAAATAAAGGGGGGAAACGTTTTCTAATTTGCATTCTAATTTATAATATGCCAGTGTATAGAGGCTAAAAACTTCACAGTCATTATCTCAGGTGTGTTAAGGCCAGTGGTGTGCTGGACCCCACTTGAAAATGGCCAGGGGGGGAACATTTACACTATAGAAACTGACAAATGCTACAAATCAAGACAACAAATCAGGGAGTTTTATTAGAGCGGAGAAAAAGCTTATTGTTAAACATTTATCAGCACACCCCTGCTGAAGGTGACTTTATTTTTCGACAACTAAACTTCCTTCATTCTACAGCCTCCACTTTCCCTGATGATGAACACAGCTAAGCTAGGTGTGTTCCCAGATGTTTCACATCCTGGGAAACGCGGGTTTGAGGATTGCTGTCTCAATCACTTCGTGTTCTTAACTCAATTCAGGGATCCTCCCACTTCTTCCCAGGGTCTCATCTAGGTACATGGGAATGGGATGGGAGGAGAGACCTGGTTCACGATTGTCATTTATCCATGTTGGCCCCCTCTGAAGTACAACTCCCCTCTCTACTTTACAATCGACCTTTATGGGTAGGTTCCCATATGCCCCAGTTTACCTGACAGACTCTTGGTTTATAACTGTAGTCTTGGCGTAATTATTAACAGCCCCACTTCACTCCTGTAAGTATACTAATGGATCAATTACATGGTTCCTCTGATTATGCATCACCCAGGCAGTGCTCTGACTCTATTACTCTCACCTCTCCAAATTTATGTAATGTAAACCCAATGTGTAGAGAAAACGCTCATCCTAAAATCCCCTTGGAGGGGATGATTTGCAATATGATTTCCAAAACCAATACAAGAGGAGAGCCAGATTATAGAATGGCAGTGCCAGAATGGCAAGAACATATGTTTTATAGTCAAATGCCACTTACTAATTGTGTAACCTTGGGTCAATGGGTTAATATTGCTGAGTGGTCTTCATTTATAAAATGGAAATCTTAGAAAATTCTGACGCTCAAATATTATAAAAGACTCACGTAGTGTGTACCAAGGCAGGTCTATCAAGTCCACATTAATTCTACTAAAGTCTTCATGTGTTCTTATTCCTGGGTGCATCCATATGTTAACATTTCTTCAACCTCTAAATTTCCGACTTCGGCAGTGAATCGATGGCCCTGCCATTTTAGTGTTCTATGTACCAACGAATAGGAAAATGCTGCTTCTACCCCCCTGAAAGCTATTTTGCTAAAGAGCTAAGATGCTAAAAGCTAAATATGTAACTAAATAATTATAAATCTCAATAATTGATAAATACAGTCATGGGTGGGGGCTGCTGTTTAGACACTTGAAAACAAGACCTGAATTGCTTATTTTTAAAATATTGCAAAAGACAGGCAGCAAATGGGAATCTTCAATTCTGATTCTTGGTATATTTTAGAACAATGATTTGTTTTTTCTTATACTTTCAGGTGTTTCCAATGTGGACACTGAAGAGACAATTTCTTATCCTTTTTAACATAATCCTAATTTCCAAACTCCGTGGGGCTAGATGGTTTCCTAAAACTCTGCCCTGTGATGTCACTCTGGATGTTCCAGAGAACCATGTGATTGTGGACTGCACAGACAAGCATTTGACAGAGATTCCTGGAGATATTCCCACCAACACCACGAACCTCACTCTCACCATTAACCACATACCAGACATCTCCCCAGCGTCCTTTCAGAGACTGGACCATCTGGTAGAGATCGATTTCAGATGCAACTGTGTACCTATTAGACTCGGGTCAAAAAACAACGTGTGCACCAGGAGGCTCCAGATTAAACCCAGAAGCTTTAGTGGACTCACTTATTTAAAATCCCTTTACCTGGATGGAAACCAGCTTCTAGAGATACCGCAGGGCCTTCCGCCCAGCTTACAGCTTCTCAGCCTTGAAGCCAACAATATCTTTTCCATCAGAAAAGAGAATCTAACAGAACTGGCCAACATAGAAATACTCTACCTGGGCCAAAACTGTTATTATCGAAATCCTTGTAATGTTTCATATTCAGTAGAAAAAGACGCCTTCCTAAATTTGAAAAAGTTAAAAGTGCTCTCCCTGAGAGATAACAATGTCACGACCGTCCCTACGGTTTTGCCATCTACTTTAACAGAACTCTATCTCCTCAACAACATGATTGCAAAAATACAAGAAGGTGATTTTAATAAGCTCAACCAATTACAAATTCTTGACCTGGGTGGAAATTGCCCTCGTTGTTACAATGCCCCATATCCTTGTACACCATGTGAAAATAATTCTCCCCTACAGATCCCTGAAAATGCTTTTGATGCACTGACAGAATTAAAAGTTTTACGTCTGCGCAGTACCTCTCTTCAGCATGTGCCTGCAAGATGGTTTAAGAACATCAACAACCTCCAGGAACTAGATCTGTCCCAAAACTTCTTGGCCAAAGAAATTGGGGATGCCAAATTTCTGCATTTTCTCCCCAACCTCATCCAATTGGATCTGTCTTTCAATTTTGAACTTCAGGTCTATCGTGCATCTATGAATCTATCACAAGCATTTTCTTCACTGAAAAGCCTCAAAATTTTACGGATCAGAGGATATGTCTTTAAAGAGCTAAAAAGCTTTAACCTCTTGCCATTACATAATCTTCAAAATCTTGAAGTTCTTGATCTTGGCACTAACTTTATAAAAATTGCTAATCTCAGCATGTTTAAACAATTTAAAAGATTGAAAGTCATCGATCTTTCAGTGAATAAAATATCACCTTCAGGAGATTCAAGTGAAGTTGGTTTCTGCTCAAACGCCAGAGCTTCTGTAGAAAGTTATGAACCTCAGGTCCTCGAACAATTACATTATTTCAAATATGATGAGTATGCAAGGAGTTGCAGGTTCAAAACCAAAGAGGCTTCTTTCATGCCTATCAATGAAAGCTGCCACAAGTATGAGCACACCCTGGATCTAAGTAAAAATAATATATTTTTTGTCAAGTCCTCTGATTTTCAGCATCTCTCTTTCCTCGAATGCCTGAATTTATCAGGAAATAGCATTGGCCAAACTCTTAATGGCAGTGAATTCCAACCTTTAGCAGAGCTGAAATATTTGGACTTCTCCAACAACCGGCTTGATTTGCTCCATTCGACAGCATTTGAAGAGCTTCGCAAACTGGAAGTTCTGGATATAAGCAGTAATAGCCATTATTTTCAATCAGAAGGAATTACTCACATGCTAAACTTTACCAAGAACCTAAAGGCTCTGCAGAAACTGATGATGAATGACAATGACATCTCTTCCTCCACCAGCAGGACCATGGAGAGTGAGTCTCTTAGAACTCTGGAATTCAGAGGAAATCACTTGGATGTTTTATGGAGAGATGGTGATAACAGATACTTACAATTATTCAAGAATCTGCTAAAATTGGAGGAATTAGACATCTCCAGAAATTCCCTAAATTTCTTGCCTCCTGGAGTTTTTGATGGTATGCCTCCAAATCTAAAGAATCTCTCTCTGGCCAAAAATGGGCTCAAATCTTTCAATTGGGGAAAACTTCAGTGTCTGAAGAACCTGGAAACTTTGGACCTCAGCCACAACCAACTGACGACTGTCCCTGAGAGATTATCCAACTGTTCCAGGAGCCTCAAGAAATTGATTCTTAAGAATAATCAAATCAGGAGACTGACAAAGTATTTTCTACAAGATGCCTTCCAGTTGCGATATCTGGACCTCAGTTCAAATAAAATCCAGATGATCCAAAAGACCAGCTTCCCAGAAAATGTCCTCAACAATCTGGAGATGTTGCTTTTGCATCATAATCGATTTCTGTGCACTTGTGATGCTGTGTGGTTTGTCTGGTGGGTTAACCATACTGAGGTGACTATTCCTTACCTGGCCACAGATGTGACTTGTGTGGGGCCAGGAGCACACAAGGGCCAGAGTGTGGTGTCCCTGGATCTGTATACCTGTGAGTTAGATCTGACTAACCTGATTCTGTTCTCACTTTCCATATCTGCCTCTCTCTTTCTCATGGTGATAATGACAGCGAGTCACCTCTATTTCTGGGATGTGTGGTATATTTACCATTTCTGTAAGGCCAAGATAAAGGGGTATCAGCGTCTAATATCACCAGACTCTTGCTATGATGCTTTTATTGTGTATGACACTAAAGACCCAGCTGTGACAGAGTGGGTTTTGGCTGAGCTGGTGGTCAAACTGGAAGACCCAAGAGAGAAACATTTTAATTTATGTCTCGAGGAAAGGGACTGGTTACCAGGGCAGCCAGTTCTGGAAAACCTTTCCCAGAGCATACAGCTTAGCAAAAAGACAGTGTTTGTGATGACAGATAAGTATGCGAAGACTGAAAATTTTAAGATAGCATTTTACCTGTCCCATCAGAGGCTCATGGATGAAAAAGTAGATGTGATTATTTTGATATTTCTTGAAAAGCCCTTTCAGAAGTCCAAGTTCCTCCAGCTCCGGAAAAGGCTCTGTGGGAGATCTGTCCTTGAGTGGCCAACAAACCCGCAAGCTCACCCATACTTCTGGCAGTGTCTGAAGAATGCCCTGGCCGCGGACAATCATGTGGCCTACAGTCAGGTGTTCAAGGAAACGGTCTAGCCCTTCTTTGCAAAACACAACTGCCTAGCTTACCAAGGAGACGCCGGACTGCCTACATTGTTTTCATATATATCACACCAAAAGCACGTTTTGAAATTCTTTAAGAAATGAGATTGCCCATATTTCAGGGGAGTCACCAACGTCTGTCACAGGAGTTGGAAAGGTGGGATTTATATAATGCATTGAATCTTCTTTCTTATCTCTCTGTGTCTCTATTTGCACTTACGTGTCTCCCCTCCGCTCTTGTATAAAACACTGTTGGGAAAAGAGTGTCAAGTAAAGGACATGGGGCTGTGATTCTCCTGCAATTGTGATGATGAAACATACACACGATCATGAGATTGAGAAGAACTGCATTTCTACCCTTAAGAAGTGCTGGTACATACAGAAATAAGGTTAAGAAAAAAAAAAAAAAAGCTCAAGCTCCATCTATGAGAGACCAAAATGTACTAGAGTTAGTTTAGTGAAAAAAAAAACAAACCACCGTCAGCTTCTTAACCAATTGCTTCTGTGTCATCAGGGCCCCCTTCTGTGCAGAGCCAGTGTTGGGCACCAGACAGGGGGTTGCTGTTTCAGTGCTTCCTGATCTTTCCCTTGGGCCTGCTCCTGGCTCCTGAGTTCCACAGGGAAACAGTGACAAAGAAACAGTCTTACCATATATGCATATGGTCCACCTACAAATGGAAAAATATTTAAAGGATTCACCTTTATACAAAGTGACATTCTCTACCTTTCACAGTTTATCTGCTTGAATGTTTTTATCTGCACTGCAAAGTATTGTATACAAAAGACAATGTCCTCATCCAGTATCTTTCAAACTGTTTTGTTAACTAATGTGTACTTGTAAATATCTGCAACCTTGATATAGCAGCATTGGATGCTTTTTATGGCAAACCCTAAAGGAGGACTCCAAGAGCACGTATTTATTTATAGTTTTTTCACAGATGACAATTATTTGAATGCCAATTATATGGATTTCTCTCATTTTTTGCTGCGGGATGGGAGAAGAAACCAAAGTTTATAGACCTTCGCATTGAGAAAGCTTCAGTTTTGAACTTCAGTATCAGGTTCAAAAACAACAGAAAGAACCAAGACATTCTTAAGATGCGTGTACTTTCAACTGGGTATAAATTCATGAGTTCAAGATTGAAACATGACCAATTTGCTTTATTTCATGGAAGAAGTGCTCTACAAAGGTGTTTGTGCCATTCGGAACACAGCGTGCATGTGTTCAAGCATTAGCTTGGAGACATTGTATTTTTCTCGTATGTGGTAACACCGAAGGCTTACTGATTCAATAAGGGCCACAAATTCCCAAATTGATCTCTGGAATAGAGAGGTAATTAAATTGCTGGAGTCAACTATTTCACAACTTCCGTAAGCCTCATTGTGTTTCATAGTTCCTGTTCTTCTTCAGTGAGAACAAGAACAATGGCATTAAAAAATCAGCTTTGGGCCATTATACATTTTTTTTCTATTAAAACACATAAATACAGAAAAGATCACTTGACAACAACTTAAACATCTTCTGAAATGGATCAAGAGGAAGGGAAACTGAAAATAATGCAAGTCAGAAACCACAGAGTATTTTGACATGAGGTTAAGTACCGTGGTTTGCTGTAGGAAAATAACAGCATACCAACAGATGATTTTTATCTGAATTCCTTGTCATCTTGACATGTTATTCTTTTAATTAACTTTCTGAGGGCCCTCAGTGCAGTTTTGAAGGACTAGAGCTGTTCATAGATGGTCCCCACAAAGCTCTGAATGTGGGGCTTCTCTGCTGACTGGCCTCTGGTTGGCTCTGCCCCAGAAGGGACTCCCAGATTCTCCATGAATTCTACTTCCACCATCAAGGGTTGGCCCAAGCCCCTTGCAACCCTGACTTGGACAGGGAGTGTCCTTTGTCTTTAGATAGATACTACACGTTAGCAAGACTTGGGCATTTTTAGAATCCAAAGCAAGGGAGGCACTTGGCAGAGAAAATATTATGAATGAGAAAAAGGCAAAACAAGTGTCTTCAGTTTACAGAGGAGAGAGAGGATGAGTCTGATTGCAGCGCCGACCCTGAGTCAGGATCTTTCAGCCCCAATCTGCAGGTCTACTTCCAGCTCCATCTGTCTAGACACTCTTTTAGGTCCAGATCATCTCTTACATGCGGCCAAGGAATAGAGAGTACGCAAGCAGTTGTAGCGACCTGAGAGTGTGAGTATTTGTGGCCAACTCTGAGGAAGCTGTGATGGGGTAGCAAGGACACACACTCTTCTCATTTATAATGCCTTCCCCCCTCCCATAAGATATGCTTTTTTATTTACTTCCTCCTTCTCATCCTAACTCGGGTGAACAAGAGGACCAAGTTGCACATCCTGCTAGTTATTTATGGCCCAATTTTGACATGGGGATGGAGTTGAGGTCGGATTTGTTCTTCCGCCTCTGCTGCACATGCTCAGTAAGCAGGAACACTGTTCATAGGAAAGGCTTAGTCACAGTGGGAGCACATCCGGCCTTGGAGCCTTGGGTCGCTGTGCCCCAGAAGCAGTTAGTTATAGCACACACTGCTCCTGGCATCTACTAGAAGGTGGAGCCCTTGACCCTAAGAAACACTGGGAATGATCTGTACCCTCCAAAGTCCAGTAGCTATGTGGGAAGGAAATGATCAAAGAACACGATTGAGGGGACTCAAAGAGAGACTTGCTTCAGACAACACCAAGACAGTAAATTAATGCATTCACCAAGTTAGCAATGTAATGAAGGCGAACAAGAGACCAACCCACCTGCCAACCAACGTTGTGAAGAAGGAGGGTTAGAAGGAGAATAAGTCCCAAACTCACAAGATGGTGTGGAAAGGGCCCTAGTGAAATAGAGGCCACCCATGCTGGTGACAATAAAATCACAACAGGGCAGTTTCACACCACTTCCTTATTATTTTTCTTCTTCTTTCCCACCTTTCTTCTTTTGCCTCCCCCTCCCTCTTAGTTTCCTTTTTGGCTCTAAACACCCACGGCAAGTGTCAAGCAATGCACAAGAATGAAAAGAAGACAGCCGTTGCTGCAGGTGGGTGCTTCTGTTCAGAAGGCGTGGTTTTGTGTGCACTTTTGGTTGAAAACCTAAGTCTGTCCCACACACATATCCCCCACCTGCTTCAGTGAGCATGAAATTCTAAAATTGACTCCGTGGAATGTTCCCTAGGTGACACTGGCTGGACTCTCTGCCACATTAAAATTCACTCTTTCTACCTAGCTCACCTTTCAAGCACTAATTCAGTCTTTAAGATTTCCTTAATCTCAGGTTGTAATTCATTTCCAACATGTTTGTCATGACGTAATATGATGAACATATGAAGACATACAACCACTGACATAGATTCTAGGGGATTTCGTAACAGTGAATTGCATGAGTTGACTTGAGCAAAAGAAGTTTGTCGTAACATTTCCATGAACCCATACCTGAGACCCACTGTCCAGGGGGACCACACTGCTGAGAAGATGGCTTGGGCTGTTTTGGGAGTCAGAACTAGGTTGTTGTCCTGCTGTCACCCTGGGTCGATGGTAACATCCCTGAACCAGGTCCAGATGGAGGCCCAGCAAACAGAACTTAGCAACAGGTGACATGCATTCAATACCACTTTATAGCTCCCATCTCTCTCCTGGGCCTGCATTTCTCATGACTGATTCTGTTGTCTTTGGATTGAGGCATCGTAACTGAAATTCCTAATTTACAACCTTCCAAGGATTGTTTTGACACATTAGTCCTGTCCTTTAACAACACATCACTCGTCTCCATTAACACATCGTGATAGATTAATCTGTGAGATGATCAACTCTCCAGAAGAGGCCACCTGAGAAAACAGAACACAGGAAGCATGTTCTGAATGGAGAAGATGCATTTTAAAGTAACCCCAACTTTGGCTCCTACTCATGAGGGCAGGCCCACAAATGGAATGACAGGCAAGGAGGGAGTGAGGAGGATCCCAGGAAGAAGGGCTGAAGATGAAGCCACTGGTATCCCGACAATGTCATTGAATCAGGGGTCGAGGGGAAGGAGGAAAGGAAGTCATATCTATTGAGCAGCAAATGCAAATTAAATGCTTCATTTATTCCCTTAAACCTTCACATCACCTCTATGAGGCTAGTATTAGCAGTTCTGTCTTAAAGATGATGGGTTATCTCGGAGATAAAGGTGAGATCAGAGAGGGAAAGTCAACTGCTCAATCTCTGGGACCCAGAAGTCCGCATCCCTGGAATACTTTTCGAAGCAACCGGCCTGCAGAGCAGTAAGTACCACATCTTCCTTTGGGACACCAGGAACTGTTACTACAGGGATCACTTTAGCAAGGAAAGCTCAGACCCCCCAGCCACGCTCAATTTCCCTCCTTTTGTATATAAACTTCGGTGCTCTCAACCTTTTCCCTGGAGTGGAGCTGCATTTAAACTCAAATTGCTTCCCACTGGGCACTGTTTTGGGGCAGATATAATTTAACTATACAGTACTGGCAGTTCTGTTTAGGGCCCAATGTTTTTACTGTAATTTCCCTAACATCTTACTGAATACGTAGACGCTGTGGTTCTACTTATATGGTGCCAACTGCCACCTAGTGGTGTGGGAAGTCCCTTCTGGGTGCTGATGTTCTGCTTCTGAGACCCCTAGATGGGTTTCCAAAGTGGGATTTGGGAAGAAAATGTAAGAACAGATACAGTCATCTTTTTACAAGTATGTCTGTGGCTATTTTTATCATATACCCAGTGTATTAATACAGAAATATGTAGGGCTATGTGTTAAATGTTCACTGATGGGAGGGCAGTATAAAAATAAGTTGAAGGCCACATTTATTTGAAGGCCATCATTTATTTCCATTGCTTTTGCTTTGTCTCAAAATGGGGCTGGTCATGAATTTCATTTTGCACGTGCAGATGTAGATGTATAACCTTGAGTTAACTGGGTGACCAACCCTCTTTCTCCTACAGTTCCATTTTTTATAGACAATGGCCCCCATTTTAAAACTGCATTTGAATATCAGTAAGTTTCTGTCTTGCACATTCTAGCTGAACATTTCTCTCTCTCTCTCTCTCTCTCTCTCTCTCTCTCTCTCTCTCTCTGTCTTATTTCTGAGCAATCCAACCACTAACTATTCCCTTCTGTCACCAACCCTCACCCTATAAATGGCATTTTGAAGCCTGTAGTAACTTGATAGTTTGAGGGTTTAGGTCTTTTTCATTCTACTTGCTTACTTGACTGTCAGTTCATGAAGACAGTTGCTGAATGTGCATGATGCTTGGGTGTTTCATGCCCGTTAATTA